CTTTTGTTCTTCCAGATGAATTTTGTTGTTTTTTCTTGCTCTATAAAATATTTTTTTTTGGTAATTTGATTGATATGGCACTGAATAAGTAGATTAATTTAGGTATAATTGTCATTTTTATTATATTGGCTTGGCCTCCCCACAAGCAATGAATATTTATCCAGCTGTTTAGATCTGACTTTATTTGTGTGAAAAGTGTTTTGTAATTGTATTCATATAGTTCCTGAGTTTGTCTTGGCAGGTAGACTCCTAGGTATTTTATATTGTCTGCAGTTATTTTAAGTGGAATTTCTCTTTCTGTCTCTTCCTGGGTTTTGTTGGTAACATATAGAAATGCTGATGATTTATGTGGGATTATTTTACATCCTTCACCTCTGCTGCATTGTTAATCATTTCAATTAGTTTTGAGTTGATCCTCTAGGATTCTCTAAGTATACAATCATATCCTCTGCACAGAGCGTTAGCTTTATTTCCTCACTGCATGTCCTAATTCCTTCAATTTCTTTTTCTTCTATTACAGCTATAGCTAACATTTCTAGTGCAGTATTGAATAATAATAGTAATAATGGGCATCCTTGCTTCACTCCAGATCTTAATGGGAAGGCTTTTAGCCTATCCCCACTACAGGTAATGCTTGCTGATGGTTTTAGAAAGATACTACTTATTTTAAGGAAAGCTCCATTTATTCCTATGCTTTCTAGTGTCTTTAATAGGAAATGAGTGTTGTATTTTGTCAAGCATTTTCTGCATCTGTTGATATAATCATATGATTTTTCTTGCCTTTGTTACTGATCTGGTCAATTATGCTGATAGTTTTCCTAATATTGGACCAGCCTTGTCTTCCTGGTACAGATCCCACCTGGTCATAGTGTGTGATCTTTGTGATATATTGCTGTAATTTCCTTGCTAGTATTTTATTTAAAATTTTTTCATCAGTATTCATTAGGCAAATTGATCTATAGTTTTCTTTCTCTGTGTTTGCTCTTCCTGGCTTAGGTATTAGTACCACGTTCGTGTTGTAAGAGAAATTTGGTAGAACTCCTTTGCCTATTTTTCCAAATAGTTTATATGGCATCGGAATTCATTGTTCTTTAAATGTTTAGTAGAATTCACTTGTGAATCCATCTGGTCCTGGTAATTTTTTTTCTTGGGGAGCTCATGGATAACTTGTTTGATTTTTTTTTCTAAAATAGGGTTATTTAGGTGTTCTATTCCTCTTCTGTTAATCTGGGCAATATATTTTATGTTAGTATTCATCCATTTCTCTTAGATTGCCATTTGTTGGCATATAATTGAGCAAAATAGCTCCTAATAATTGCTTTAATTTTATTTTCATTGGTGGTGAATTCACCCTCTTCATTTTTGATACTGGTGATTTGGTTCTTTTCTTTCTTTTTTTTTTTAATATTAAATTAACCAGTGGTTTATCTATTTTATTGTGGGTTGTTTTTTTTTTTTTAATAAAACCAGCTCCTAGAATTATTTTTTCTTAAGTGATTTTCTCACTTTGAATTTTGTTAATCTCTCCTTTGATTTTTCAGGATTTCCAATTTGGTGTTTAGTTGGGGATTTTAGAATTTGTTCTTCTAGTTTTTTTTTCAGTTACATGCCCAGTTCATTGATCTGTTCTTTTTCTCTTTTATTGGTATAAGCATTTAGAGATATAAATTTTCCCGTAAGTACTGCTTTGGTTGTATACCATAAATTTTGGTATGTTTTCTCATTGTTGTCATTCTCTTTAATGAAATTATTTATTGTTTCTATGGTTTGTTCTTTCATCTACTAATTTTTCAGGGTTAAATTATTTAGTTTCCAATTAATTTTTAATCTATGTTTGCACAGCCATTTATTGAATATAATTTTTATTGCATTATGGTGTGAAAAGGATGCATTTAATATTTCTGCTTTTCTGCATTTGGTTGTGGGGTTTTTATGCCCTAGTACACATTCAATTTTTGTAAAGGTACCATGTGCAGTTGAAAAAAAGGTATACTCCTTTCTATTCCTATTCAGTTTTCTGTAGACGTCTATCATATTTAATTTTTCTGAAAGTCTCTTCATCTCTGTAACTTCTTTCTTCTTTATTTTATATTTAGATTTGTCTAGTTCTGAGAAGGGAAAGTTGAGGTGTCCCATTAGTATAGTTTTACTGTTTGTTTCATTCTGTAATTCATTTAATTTTTCCTTTAAGAATTTGAATGCTATACCATTTGTTGCATATATGTTTAGTATTGATGTTACTTCATTGTCTATGGTACCTTTTAGCAAAATGTAGTTTCCTTGCTTATCTCTTTTAATTAGATCTATTTTTGCATTTGCTTGGTCTGGGATCATGATTGCTACTGCTGTTTTGGTTGTTTTTTTTTTTAATTCTCATCTGAAGCATAACAGATTCTGCTCCAGCCTCTTATTTTGATTCTGTGTGTCTTTCTGTTTCAAGTGTGTTTCTTGTAAACAACATATTGTTGGATTCGGGTTTTTAATCCATTCTGCTATCTGCTTTCATTTTATGGATAAGTTCGTCCCATTCACATTCATAGTTATGATTACTAACTGTACTTCCCTCCATCCCATTTTCCCCCTGTTTATCCTTCTCTCTGTCTCTCTCCTCTCTCTCTCTGTACCTCTCTCTCCCTCCCTCCCTCTTCCCTTCTCCCTTAATCTGCCTGTCCTATCAACCCAGCATCCCCTCCCCCACATTTCTATCCCCTCCCCTCTTCCCTGTTGGATAAGATAGATTTCTATACCAAACTGAGTGTGTGTGGCATTCCCTCATTGAACCAATTTCAATGAGAGTGAGGTTCAAGCATTGTCCGCCATCCCACCCTCATTTTCCCCTGCCGCTGCAAAAGTTCTTCCTTGTGTGCCTGTTTTATATGAGATAATTTTTGCTATTCTTTCTTTCCTTTCTCCCAGCGCACCCCTCTTTTTCACTCCTTAATTTTTTCTTTGAGATCATCCTATCATAGTCAACTCACACCTGTGCCCTCTGTCTATGTATACTCCTTCTGACTTCCCTAATAATGATACCATTCTTAGGAGTTATAAGTATCATCTTCCCATAAAAGAATGTAAACTGTTTGACCATATTAAGTCCCTTAAGATTTCTCTTTCATGTTTACCTTTTTATGCTTCTCTTGAGTCTTGTGTTTGGATGTCAAATTTTCTATTTCTATTTCTATTTCTAAATTTTCTGTTCTGCTCTGGTCTTTTCATTTTCCCCTCAGTAGGATTATAGGTTATTCTTGGTTATAATCCTAGCTCCTTTGCCTTCTGGAATAACATATTTTCTTCTCCTTTAATGTGGAAACTGTTAAATCTTATGTGATCCTGACTGTGGCACCATGATATTTGAATTGTTTCTTTCTGGTTGCTTGCAATATTTTGACCTGGGATCTTTGAAATTTGGCTATAATATTCCTGGGAGTTTTCATTTTAGGATCTCTTTCATGAGTTAATCAGTGGATTCTTTCAATTCTATTTTACCCTGTTATTCTAGGATAGCAGGGCAGTTTTTCTTGATGATTTCTTGAAATATGTCTAGATCCTTTTTTTTTTTAATCATGGCTTTTAGGTAGTCCAGTAATTCTTAAATTATCCCTCCTCAATCTGTTTTCCAGGTCACTTGTCTTTCTGATGAGATAGTTCCCATTTTCTCCTATTTTTTTTAATTCTTTTGTCTTTATTTTATTGTTTTTTGATGTCTCATGGAGTCATTAGCTTCCACTTGACCAATTCTTATTTTTAAGGAATTATTTTCTTTGGTGATCTTTTGTACCTCCTTTTGCATTTGACCAGTTCTGTTTTTTAGGGAGGTCTTTTCTTCAGAGAATTTTTGTGCCTCTTTTACCATTTGGCCAATTCTGTTTTTTAAAATGTTATTTTCTCAGTATTTTTTGTGCCTTTTTTACTAAACTGTTGACTTTTCATAGTTTTCTTGCATCACTCTCATTTATTTTCCCAATTTTTTTTCTACCTCTTTTATTTGGTTTTTAAAAACCTTTTTGAGCTCTTCCAGGAATTCTTGTTGGGCTTGTGTCCAATTCAGTTTTCTTTGAGACTTTGCTTATAGAGATTTTGACATTGATGTCTTCTTCTGAGTTTGTCTTGATCTTCCCTGTCACCATAGTAGTTTTTTATGGTCAGGTCATTTTTTTTTCTTGTTGTTTGCTCATTTTTTCAGCTTATTTCTTGATTTTTAACTTTATGATAAAGTTGGGCTCTGCTCACCTGGGTTTAGGACAGGTGTTGGAGGTACAGGGGCACTATCCCAAGCTTCAGGTTTTTTCATGCTGCTGTTTTCAGAGCTAGGTCTGGGGTCTGTAATCTTTTGGTATTTTCAAGGTGGTGTGAATCAGGGAAAGGTGTGACCACTTGACTCCGGTCTTTACCTAGATAGGGCCCCTGTTCCCTGGCAACTACAAGTGCTAGTGGTCCTCTTGGCCCCAGAACTGTGACCTGCAGTGCAGCTGTACGTGGGCAGTGCAGCAGGGTCTTGAACCCAGTGCCAAAAAAAGGGGGCCCTGTAATCTCTTTCCGCCTAGTTGCCCGACCCCCTTACTATCTCTGGGCTGAGAGCTCCTGGAGCTGCTAGTGCCATCACAGCCGCCTCCAAGGCCTGTTGCTGGTGCTGCCGTTGTGTGCTGTGCTCTGGGCCAGCCCTGACCTCACTGTCACAGATCTTTTTCCCTGACCTCCTAAGTCATCTTGGTCTAGAAAACGCTCACCCGCACCTTTGTTGGGTCTTCCATTCTAGGATTCGATTTGTAGCATTATTTTTTAGTTGTTTGGAGGGAAATGTTGGGAGAGTTCAGTTGAGTTGCTGCCTATACTGTGCCATCTTGGTGCTGCCCTACATTTTTATTTAAATAAATATCTTGATAACTACATTTCAATGAAACTGATTTCCTTTGTAATCCTATGTATTAGAGAACACCGTTCTCGGTGGGCACGGCAGCACACACCTGTAATGTTTATCTGTCTTTTCCACCCCCATTTAGGACAAAGTTGACGCTGGTTTGCCCACTGCAATAGTAAGTGTACATTTTTTTCTCTTTTAATCAGAACAAAGTAATTGTTGTTCTTTGTTTTTCAAAGTGTTAATGTTTGTGATGTCTGCATTTCTGAGACCGATTTCACTGCTGGTTTCCATGATCAGTAGGTTTATCACTTGTCATAGTTCAGTTTTCATTTGAAAGGAGGAGCAATGATTTGCTGACTCTGCCCCACTCTCCTGCTCTTCTCTAAAAGTAAAGCTGTTTCCTGGGTGACACTACTTCTCCCCCACTTTCCCAGGGCAGTAAACTGAGGGCTGAATAGCACTGGTGTCCGTCAGTGTCCCTGCTAAATAATTAATTAAGGGTTTTGTTAGATAGCGAGCAGAGGGTTGGGGAGAACATGCCCTTTCCCTCTGGCCTCATCTTTCTCTCCCTTGGCCCAGGTGACTTTTTTATTAGTCAGTCACTTGGTGAGAGAGTGATCTTGTCATCCCTTGGCCCCAGTAATGTCCTGGGGAACACAGGGCTACTGGACATTACCTCCTTCTCTCTGCTCATATGAGGCTGAATTTGTTTATCATGGGGCCGCAGGTGAGGCCGCTGCCAGATCCTGAACCCCGGATTCTGCCTGCGCACCTCTGGAAGAATCGTGTGCCTGTGACTGGCCCCTCGATGTGGTGGTTCTTGTAGCCATTTAGAGGGAAAGGGGCTGAAAAGCCACTTTTTGCCCACATCTTGTGGTACCTCCCATCAAGCAGGGGCCGCGTGTGACTCTGGGCAGAGAGGGGCAGCCTGACCATCTGTCGGTGCCTCACTGGGCAAGGCAGGTGGTCAGGAGTTGGAGGTGGGGGGAAGATGGGCAGGAGATGGGGATGGACACAATCGGTTCTTCTCTCTAAACATCGCCCTCTTTTCCTTTTGTTCCCAGGCGGTGTCCAGTCTGATTGCTGTGGGGACTTCTCATGGATTGGCCTTAATCTTTGGTAAACTCATTAACCCTTGTGTTTCCTTGAAATGGGGAGGGAACATCCACATCTGAGGTGGGATGTCCTGGAGCACAGTTAGGAAAACTGGCCGAGGAACCCGCCTCTCCCTCATTAAGCCAACCCAGCCTCATCTTCCCTCCATGCTGTCTCTTGGGTTATAGCCCATCGTGCCTCTTCAATGTGCGCCAGTGGTTTGGGGGTCTGAGGATGTGGGTGCAGATCCTGGCTCTGCTCCTTAGGCTTGTGTGACTTGGGGACGTAGTTTAACCTTTCTGGGCCTCAGTTTCCACAGCTGTAAAATAAGGGATGGGACTAAAGCACCTCTAAGGTCTCTTCTGAATCCACCCCCATGATCCTCTTACCTCGAGTCTAGTAAGACTGAAAGGGAGCTAAAAGGTTAGAAGCAGGATGGCCTAGTGGGCAGAGCACCAGTCTTGGTCCTGCCTCTAACATTGAAGTAGCTTTGTGACTTGGCAAGTTCTGTAACTTCTCAGAACCTCATTTTCCTCATCTGTAAAATGGGGATAACTGAAGTAATGAACGTAAAGCCCTCCTTAAACTCTCCCCTCTCTAACAATGTGAGCTGCTGTGAATGATGAGGATGCCAGTGACTGAGGATCGTTTTCACCCAGTCAATTGCCCTACCCCCAGGAAGACTTTTCCCAGGGCAGCTAGATGGCACGGTGGATAGAGTACCAGCCCTGGAGTCAGGAAGGCCTGAGTTCAAATTTGGCCTCAGAAGCTTACTAGCTGTGTGACCCTGGGCAAGTCATTAACCCCAATTGCCTAAAAAGAAAGAAAGACTTTTCCCACCTGGGCTTCGAGTCATGAGTAGCCTTGTTCCTAAGGATTTCCAGGGAATAAGGTTGCCAGCCTCCCCTCCCTACCTGGATTTCACCATCTTTAATGCTGTGAAGTTTTCTTTGTGTCTGCTGTGATGACCCCTTGCTGGAGAATGTCATGTTCTGCCTTGACGCCTGAGGGGAGCCTTTAGTCCTGTCTCGTGCACTTGTGCTTTGAACACTCAGCATTGGTTGACTACCACTGGGCCATGTTTCCTGATGACCCTTGTCAGCGTTCCCTCGGGGTCTCTCTAAGCCTCACATATCCACTCTTAAATGAAGCTTCCCACTGGATGCAGTGTAGATTTGAATGGGGATTATGGAACGGTCACATAGCTCCTCTCTGCTGACCTTGCCACCCTCTTGAGTGACCCTCCGCCAGTGGCCAGCAAGGCTGCTCTTCAACCCTTTTTGTCCTAGGAATGCGGGGCCACATGTTTCCCACTGTCCACGTGGACAATTGGCCTTCCTTTCCTTAATGCTGCTTTTGGAAGAAACAGTCATATAAAAGTGATTTTAAGTATTGTCTTAGACAGTTGATGTGGGAGCTCACATTTATAAAACAGAATATTGGCTTTTGCTGTTCTCCTAATTAAAGTATGGCAGATGGAAAGCAGAAAGGCCTTAGAAGGAATTCTGAGGGGCAGCGATCACAAGCCCCAAAATGGAGGAGCAAGAGAAAGGGATGGCGGTACATAGAAAAAAATGGCACTAACCCTAATAATATCAGTTCACATTTATATGTAGCATCCCTCCTCCTAATGTCAGTGTTTGGTTCTGCAAAGACCTGAGTGAGGTTAGAGGCAATAACATTGAGAGGGGCTGTAGGTAACATAGGAACAATGTTCATCAATAGCTAATCAGCCAGTTGTTACGTTGGGGTGCCAAGACTTTCCAGTGGGGTTAAGCAAGAGTTTATCAAAGATGTCTCACAAAACAGCATCGTTGAGGCATCTTGTGTGGTGCACCTGCCTTCAGAGGGTTTTTGTCCAAGCCACCACTGGGCAGGGTCAGCATCATTGCCCCTATTTTGCAGATGAGGAAACTAGGCTCAGAGGTGAGAGGCCCCCTGCCCACAGCCTCACGAGGAAGCCACGCGTCAAACCCAGTGCCTCCCTCCGTGCATTGACCCACGCGGTCTCATCTTGCTACATTTTCATCTGCCAGAAAACCTCACTTTAGACACAGTTTATCTTCATTCATCTTGGCCGTTCTCCGTTTCTCATAGCCCCATTTATACTCTTTCTGCCTTCTTTGGTCACTTGGCAGTGGACCTCAGGCCTGTCATACCTACACATTATTCTCATAAAATCTCTTACTTGATGGGAGCTAAGTAGAGCCCGCTATATATATATATATATATATATATATATATATATATATATATATATATCTCTTAGTCCTCAGGTTCTTGAGGCCCACAGCTTGATTTCTTTTAGGGCCAGGAAGGTTTCCCATAGCGTGCACGAGACCAAAAGATGATGACATTAATAATGTTCACCTTCCATTCCATGCCCTCAAGAAAAACAAATTTTGCCAATTGGAATGTTTTAGGAGAGCATGTTAATATATTCTGACTGTAATTTATAGTAGTGAAATTTAATAAATCCAACTCATCAATTACTGTAAATTTTTAATGTTTGGATAATGATGTCTTGTCAAATGAATTAAAAGTCCAGTTTAAGGCCCTCGAAGAAATTCTAGTCTGTTGATTTGCTGGGAAGTGTTAAAGGTTCTTGAGGCCTGCATGAGATTACATTTAACCTTTTCATTGATACTCATGGGACAGAGCATCAGATGTTGAATTCTAATTATAGAAGCATCATTTAGCTTCACTTCAAAATAGAGATGACTTCATTAACAGTAATCATTTTAAAGAGAGAAAGTTCACTATCTGTAGATAAGAAAACAACAGATAAGTAGCCGTTTCTGAAATGTGGATATAGGCTGCCTTTTCTGGAATTCCAGGGTAGACAACATTTGTAGCATATCCAGGGTTTACTTTGGCGTAGGGACTCATAAGCACTGACCTCTGGATAGTTTGTTTTGGGGATCGGTTCTCTCAGCACATGAGCTTTCTTCCCTTGTAATTCATTTCTGTGTTTCTCATGTGAACGTGCTGCCCCTTCCCATGTCGGCAGGAATGTTTACGCATTCTCTCACTTCCCAAACCAAATGCCCCAGAATCTGCATGAAGGCTAGAAGCACCAGTTGGCCAGTAGGACTGTGGTCATGTTGTCCCCACCTCTGAGGCTTTTCCCTCCCTGGCCTCTAGGTAACCAGACAAGCCACCACGATGGGCTTTGAAATTGACTTCTTGCTTTTCTTTCTTTCTCCATCTTTTCTCCATGGACCGAAAAAGGAAAAGGTACAGTGAATGTGCATTGTGCATGTGGCCTGCATGGCTTCCTCTCTTTCTTTTGGCCTGGTAGAGTGCTCTAAGGGAGCAGAGACCCACACCAGGTAGCCTGGCAGCAGAGCTGGCACTGGTGGGCTGGGCTGGGCTAGGGAAGAGTAGACTGCACATGGTGAGGCCCCATGGAAGCTGCCTTTGGTACACACGCCAACTGTGTAGGTAGTGAGCCATCCTCAGCTGATTGGCATGGGTTTGGCCAGACTGCTTGGAGTGTCCATAGCCAGAGAAGTGGGACACAAGCACTTCCCCATTCTGCCCTCTCTTCCTCTTTCCTCCATGCTCAAGGAAGGAGGCTTCAGTGCAGGTAGAAGCTCAGGCAGGAATGCGGGTGGTTGTTTTCTTCCTCTCTTTAAATATTGAGCTAAAGAGAGTTGGATACCAGCAGTCCAAGAAATCGAAAGATTGAACAGTATTCTTTCAGGGACATGTTCTCATGTCTGAGAGGTGTTTTTACCTTTGAAAGTTTTTGGAACTTGTATATACAGGGTGGGGACAAGAAATGATTGAATTTGGAGTTGTGGAAAGAAGAGTCACAGGAGTAGAGAATTCATCCATTCAGCCTGAGGTTGGGTGACTGCATTATCTACATTGGCATTTACCTGTGGCTCTCTCTTGGATTACTCAGAAAACTACTGGGAAGCTCCATTTGCTTCCCAATAATAATGTAATAATGTAATTAGAAATGTATTAGTAATGTAATTAGAAATATGTATCATAATATGCATGTATACATATGTATGTATATTACATATATGTATATGTATATATATGTGCATGTGTCTATATATAATATCTATAGCTCTCTCTCTATAGAGAGAGAGCGAGATCTCATAGAATCTAGTTTAGATGAATTTTGAATTGTTAGTGTTACATAGGCTCTCAGTGATTACTATGGGTATTTTAGTGATAGGGACTGGCCCTGTGATTTCATTGGTATAGGGAATTATTGCTAGGTGAGGAGGGTCCCTCAACCAGTGCAGGGCAGCCTGCCCTTCTCTTTGACGTTTACTGAGATTTAGAGTTTACCGAGAACAGAGGTGTCAGACCCGAGGCCCACGAGTGAATTCCCAGCCAGATGAAAATGTAATTGGAAATGTTTAACAGAATAACTAAAAATACACTACAACATGTAACAGACAGCATTCACATGTGGTTTTCTAAGTCAGTCTGAGGCTCACAGAGATCTGTTTCTATTTGACTTTGGCACCACGACCTAGAATATTCAGAGGTGAAGGACTTTCCTGGGGTCACACAGCCCAGACTTTGGCAGCACTTGACCCTGAATCTTTTTTTTTTTAATATTTTTATTATGTAGTTTCTTCTTTTTATTTATTTATTTATTTATTTATTTATTTTACATTTTGTTTGTTTGTTTTGCTAGGCAATAGGGTTAAGTGACTTGCCCAGGGTCACACAGCTAGTAAGCGTCAAATGTCTGAGGTTGGATTTGAACTCAGATCCTCTTGACTCCAAGGCTGGAGCTCTATGCACTGTGCCACCTAGCTGCCCCCTTGACCCTAAATCTTCCTGGCTCTGAGGCCACCTCTAACCACTATTCCCTCCTGCCTCTTACTAGCATTATAATGAATCAAAACAGTAATATCATACTAATAATATCACCTTACGTTACATTCAGAAGTCCTATGCTTTGTTTTTCTACAGTGCTTTGTATTTTTCAAAGTGTTTTCACAGTTTTGATCCTGAGAAGAAGGTTCAACAAATCTTATCCCCAGAGATGAATTTAGTTGCCTAAGACCCCACAGCACCTGGGGCTCGGGTCTCTAGACACCTCATCGAACAGTTTTTCTGCTCAGTTGTCTCGGCCAGACAGAATGTGCCATTTGGGATGGCCGCTAACATGGTGGTCCTTCTCTGTCAGAGGAGGGGAGAAGGCTCCCTCTTGTGGTGCTGAAGTGAAAAGGAAGGCACCCCAACAGTCCCGAGGGTTAGACTGTGCAGAGGGAGCCTGCCCCCGCCTTGTGCCGGCTCAGGCCCTCCCACTTCGTCTCGTGATGGCTGTGGGGCCTGTGTCCTTATCAGCAGGGATAGTGTTTGGATTTTACCTCCTCCTCAATGGCTGATCCGACGCCTGGTGTTCCCTCTGTCTTAATTAACCAGGAAGGCTTAGGGAGCCTCGGGGTGCCCGAATTATACCCCAGTCAGGCATCAGTGGGACTTGTGTTGCATTGTTTCTTATCTTGGGATTTTTATATCATGAGACCCCTCATGCCTGCGCCAAGGTCCATCTTAACCTCTTCCCTGAGTCAGGATGAAATCTCATAGAAGTGGATCTACCGTCCCTTGGCTGGTTGGGCTGGCCAGCACCTTGAGGCATTAGTCAGATACCACTGAAGTCCTCTGCTGGACCCTCTGTTTAAGCCTCCCCGGGAGGTGCGCTCATGGCTAATTGGTATCATCTAGCCATACAGCATCAACTTGTGATCCAGCCCTGGAGGTCTGAAGGTCGTAGCCTAGCACTCCTCAGATTTGGAGCAGGAAGAGGCCTTCAGAAGCCATCTAGGCCACCTCTCTCACTTTGCAAAGTCCCAGAGAGGGGAAAAGTACTTACCCAGAGTCACAGGGTGAAAGGTGACAGAGCCAGGCCCGGACACTTACGGTGTGCTGTGCCAAGCGTGGATTATGGCCCGTTCTGCCCCCCACAGCCAAGACCGAGCTTCAAGAGACTTTGCTGACTGGCCTCCAGCTTCTGGGAACCACAGAGCCTGGGGAAGATGGTGAGGAAGCCTAGTGGTCTTCAGGTTCTCCAACGGGGACTGTAGCTGGCCTCTCCTTTCTTCCCTCCCCCTCTGGAACGTCTCCTTTCCTTTCTCAGACTCCTTTCAAATTGTATCTTCCCTTTCACTTCTCTCACTTTCCATCCTTCCTTTCATCCCTCATGTCTCTCTACTTTGTTGAGTTATCAGAACACTTGAATTGACAAGTTATAGTAGAACATATAAAACTGGCTAAAATTTGCTGATGGTGTCTTTGGAGCCACATAGCCGGCAGCCTCTGTCTGCTTCCTATAAACAAGAAGAAAGGCAGAAAGTGAGATTTGCAGGGGAGGTGAAGAGGGAGGAGGGCAGCTAGGTGGTGAAGTGGATAGTGCACTGGGCTTCGAATCAGGAAGGCTCATCTTCATGAGTTCAGATCTGGCCTCAGACACTAACTGTGTGACCCTGGGCAAGTCACTTAACCCTGTTTGCCTCAGTTTCCTCATCTGTAAAGTGAGCTGGAGAAGGAAATGGCAAACCACTCCTGTATCTTTGCCAAGAAAACCCTAAATGTGGTCACAGAGAGTAGAACTTGACTGAAACAACTCAACAACAAAGAGGGGGGGCTTTTACAAAGTTTCTTTTGCAGCATCGGTAGATCTTAGAATTGTTCTTAGCCCAGTTTACTTCAGAAAGCTCCAGTTGTGATCATGGCTTTTATAATTCTGACAGTACTTAGTTGGCACATCCTAACTTTCCTTACTCAGCATTTGAAGTCCGCCATATTGTGAAAGCATCATGGAGGAACTGTTAAGTATTGAATGGGTCTGAAGCTCATCGTTGGGTGAGATCTTTCAGTAGAGGATGGAAGGCCTTCTGGCACGACTTGGTGATTCCTTGTTCACTCCCCTCTGATTGGGGGGGTAGCAGCTCTGGCCTTAGTCAGGGGGTCTAGTCCCACTTATACACAAGGTGTCATTTATGGCCCTCTTCTCCCTTTCTGTTTCTTTTCAGCCCAGGCTCCTGCCTAATCCAAATGGCCCAAGCTAGAGGTGTATAGAGCACCCTGTTTCCTGACTGTTCTAGTATGACAGCCTACAACCTAATGCCTAAAACTCTCAAATGATCTTTGAAAAACTGGGTACAAATAAAAGCACGCGGTGGGGAGAGGGAGCCTCATCAAAGGGTAACAGCACACTCATCTATGAATCTGTGAACAAAAAAGCATCCGTTAAATTCTTCCTGTGTGCCAAGCACTGGACCGCGTACATAGAAATAGAAGACACTGGATAATCATTGCTCTCTCGTGGAGGGCAATGGTGGCTGACAAAGAACTTTGAACTGCAGGACCAGCAAAAGGCCAGAGGCTTTAAGGTGCTGCGGTAGCGAGGACAGCAAGGCCAGGGGGAGATTTGGGTGAGGTGGGATGTGATAGCTGACGTCAAGTGTGCGAAGGGTCATGGGGGGAGAGGGGTCAGGTTTGTCCTGCTTGGCCCCAGAAGGGAACTAGGAGAAATGGGGGGAAGGTGTGGAGAGGTGGGCTGCTGTGGGGGAGAGCTTCCGTCATACCGTGCCCAAGAGGCACCTTGGAGATATAGGGCCTCGTTACTGTAGGGCATCTTCCTTATCGACCAGAAACGTTTGTGCTCAGCTTGTGCCCAATCTTGTTTGTGGGTTTGGTTCTTAATAGCTTGTGGACATTCCAGAAAATGCAGTCCATCCTCAAAGAGTGAAGATTTGTCCCCACTTGGGTACTTCACCAGTGTGGGCTGGAAGCCCGGGGAGGGTTTCACAAGACACGATCCAAACACGTTCTGGACAGTTTCTGGATCTTTGGAGAGAGCTCATAGTTGTCTGCTGTGAGGATTTTGAAGAGGGGGGAGTGCCCAGTGGAACATCCATGTTCTTGGGCGTTTATTAGAAGATGGGTCACACTCTTGTGTTATAAAGTTATGGGAGGAGTTGAACGAGAATAGTGAGACTGATACCCAAAAGAGGTGAAAAAAGAAAGGGAAGAATATCAGAGAACCCTTAGAAGCCACAACAGGGAGCAAAAGGAGGTGGACCTTGCCATGTGGGAGCGGTCACTTTCAGAGCAAGCCTCGTCTTCTGTTCTCTCTATCAGCAGTGGGGCATTTGCTGACCTTTGTCGAGTTCCTAACGATCAAGAATTTTTTTAAAATGTCCTGTTACTTTGGGATTGTCCATTCCTATTGGCAAAGAAATGTAGTTTTATAATCTTCAAATACATAAAATAATTGGAATTAGGCCATAAAGGTGTGATCTGCCAGAAGGCCCAAGTGCACTGGGTTTAATGAACAAATCAGAATAATTTAAGACGAACACATTGAGGTTTGGGGGGAGGGGGGGACAAAGATGATGATTCCCCACGCTGATGAAATGGAATTCTCTTTATAGATGCAGGTCAGTAATTTAAACAGGCAACTTGCCCCTTGCTTACAAAATTTCTGGGTCACTGAGAACCTAAGTGACTTAGCCAGGGTCACACAGTCAGTGTGTGCCAAAGGCAGGTCTCTCTGACTCTAATGAGACCTCTCATTCTGCGCCACTGCCTCTGAATTGGAGCAAAGTAGGCCTGTTCTCAGAGGCCCAGCGGCTAGAGCTCTGGGCCTGGAGTTAAGAGGTCCCCGAGTTCAAATCCAGCCTCAGACACGTACTAATTTTGTGACCCTGAGCAAGTCACTTAACCTCTGTCTGCTTCAGTTTCTTCCTTATCTGTAAAATGGGTATAACAACATCTGTTTCCAGTGCTTTGCAAATCTTAAAGTGTTGTTATTGGTAATAATAATGGACAGGGTGCTGAAATCAGGAAGACCTGGGTTCAGGTTGTGCCTTTGATGCTTATTGGGTTTTCCGTGGGCAGATTGCTGTACCTCTTGAGGTCTCATTTTTTCCTTCTATGAAGTAGAATTGTATTTTCTGCCCAGAGTGGTTGTGAGGCCCGGATGAGGAACCATGGGAAATGTCCATCATTGGCACATAAGCAGGTGCTGCCAAGGTGCTGGAAAGCGTCCCTCATTCCCCTTGCCCCTGTCCATCTTCCCCAGGGGATGGCCAGCTCCCTGCCTTAAACCCTTTATTTGCCTCACAAGTGTGATCGATGCCAATGGGAAGGTAAACTTCGGTTTCACTTTTGACCAAAGTAACAAATTCTGGCCTAGTGGAGTCCAAATTACTGAGGCTTTTGAAGTGCCTGGGAGGTGATTGTGTTCTGAGGTAACCCAGCCCTGTCAAGCTGAGTAAGAGGTTAAATAAAGATAGAAAAGACAGAAGCTAGATCGTTTACCCAGGGAGCCCCAGTGCTGGGATTGACCCGGGCTTCCCTGAGGAGGCCTCTGTGCGATCAGTGATGGCCCGCACCTAGTTCACTGGCCTGGCTTGGGGTTTGAGGAAAGCGCACCACATTCAGAAGCGAGGCCGAGGCCTGATCTCAGTCCCTTTTCCTCTTTGCCTGGTCTCGCCCTGTCCGCATTCGGGCCCGAGCAGCAGACGCAGGTGGGAGGGGACAGGATGCGCAGAGGATGGGGGTAGGGGGGTACTGATAGTGCCCCCCAAAGGGCTCTGGACCAACAAGGAAAGGCTTCCCCCCCACCCCCCACCATGATCTCCCTCCCTGGTCCCAGCCACGCCCGTGCCTCCATGACCAAAGATGCTTTCTTCCCTTTTGTGGTCCCCAGATCAGAACCAAGCCCTGCGCCTCTGCCTGGGCAGCACCAGCGTCGGGGGACAGTACGGGGCCATCTCTGCTCTCAGCATCAACCACGACTGCTCCAGACTTCTCTGTGGCTTTGCCAAGGGCCAGGTAAGACAGGCCGGGCATGGCAAACAAAGGTGAAGCGGTCTGCCGGTCTGTGCGGTGCAGTGACTGCCCCCAGGTGGGCCGGTGCGAGCGTCCCACCCGGGTTCAAATGTGGCCCGATAGGGCAGCACCACAGTTCACCTCTCTGGGCCTCAGTTTCCTCATCTGTACAACAAAGACTCGGCAGGCCCCTTGTAGTTCTAACTCTGATCTTATGAACTCATTTTCTTCTTGTTTGCTGACATTCTGCCCAGGCGTGGGGCTCCGGGTCCTCCCCCAAGGCACATCAGGGCAACAGTCATGCTTGTGGCTTCTCCTAGGAGCATGTGGTAGAGCCTTCACCTCTAGGATAAAGTACAGGCTCTTGTGCTTGGCCCTGACGGCCTCCTCACCCAGTCCAGGCTTCAGGCTTCCCAGCCCTCTGGCTGGGCTCTGCACACACCAGGCCCCTCTGGCCTCTGCCTCCTCTGCGTGGGCTGTTTTCCCTCCTCCCCCTCTTAGAGTGTCTGGCCACCGTCGGGCCTCTCCCTTCTCGGAAGCTACCTCCTGTCTTTCCTGATTTCACCCCCAGTGCCTCCTGCCCTTCCCTCATTTTCGGTTTATTTCGTGTTTCTTTTTCTGGGCCCAGATTGTGTCCCCCAGCTAGAATGGAGGCACTTGAGGACAGGGGCTGTTTCATTTTTGTTGTGTGTTTTCGGTGTCTCACACAGAGCCTAGCGAGAAGCTACTTAATGGGATTGAGCTGTAACCAATCACACACAGGCTGAATGGGGGGAGGCTAGTGCTGGATGTGGGAGGGATTGCTGCTGGAGGAAGCCAGCAATTACGTGAGGGAAACCTAAGCCCTCAGTGCCCTGGTCAGCACGGACCCCTTCCTAGCTTGGATGCACCAGCCAGGGCGTTCTCTCCAAGACCTTTTCTCCATCCATGCCACTGCATATGTCTGTCTGTGTGCCTGTCTGCTTGTCTGCCTTTCTGTCTGCCTGCCTGCCTACCTACACTCTGTCTGCCTGCCTGTCTTTTTATCTGTCTGCCTGCCTGTCTGTCTGTCTTTCTATCTGTCTGCCTGTCTGTATGTCTGTACGTCTTTCTGTCTGCCTGTTGGTATGTCTTTCTATGAGCCTTCTGTCTGCCTTTCTTCCTGCCTACCTACAGTCTGTCTGCCTGCCTGTCTGTCTGTCTTTCTGTCTGCCTTTCTGCTTGTGTGCCTGCCTGCCTGCCTGCCTGCCTGCCTGCCTCGCCTGCTTCTGGAATTGCTCCCTGGTGCCTGCATACTCACATGCTCACATCTGTCTCCTGACTTCTTGTTTGTACAGAGCCTGCTACAGGAACACAGACTTTTTACAATTTACGTTAGGCTTGGGGGGCTCTTTCAATAAGATAAATAATTCCTCAAAGGGGTTTCTGGGCACACTTGGCACCAGGTTCAAGAGTGAGCCAGGAGCCCCGTGATTTGGCGTCCTCTGCCTGTTCTGGGAGTGCAGCGGTCTGCCTTAGCGAGCCTTCACTGTCAGCAGATTTTACTCGTGTTTTCCATTGAATTCTTTTGTTAGTACATTTGTAAACCAGAGGGGGAATATTTCCGCCAGAAGTTGGATACTACCACCACAACTATTACCACTACTACCGTCACTGCTTGTAGAGCCCTTTAAGGCTTACAAAGCACTTTACAAACATTATCTCATTTGATTCTTACCACAACCCTGGCAGTCAGGTGCCATTATTATCTCCATTTCATAGATGGGGAAACTAAGGCAGACAGAGCCATCAGCTAATAAGTGTCTGAGGCCAGGTCTTCCTGACTCCAGGACCAGCACTTTCTGCACTGTGCCACCAGGCACCTCTACAAAGTATTTACATTCTGGCAGAGTATTGATTAGGTAATATTGTGTCTCCTGTGCCTCTGAGCTCCTGGGGTCCCTGAACTTGTTTTCTTTTTTTGATGTTTTAATAACTCCATTTCAGCATTCTCAGTTTTCTTTGGATTCCTTTGTATTTTGTTTTATCCATTTAAAAAGACAATTCTGAGAAGGGGGTGGGGGTGAGGGTCCATAGACTTCAGAGGCCTGCTGCCAGAGAGGTCTGTTAGCCCCCAGAAAAGGTAAAAACCTCGTCTTTGTGCTTCGTGGTTTACACAGCACTTTCTTCCTCGTGACTCAGTGAGGTTGGTAGCGCAGTCGTTACTAGCCTCATTTTCTCAGTTGAATCAACTGAGGCACCGAGAGGCAGGGACTGACAGTCCCGCCTGTGGTCACAGCTAGTGTCCGAGCCAGGATTTGGACCCTCATCTTCCTTGCCTTGAATTGCAGCGTCTTTCCATGGTAATACACTAAGCATGGCGTCCTGTATTGTGAAACCATATGGAATACATCATAATTTGTTTTCTTATTCTAAGATTTATTGAAAAAATAGAAATATGCAAGAATAAAAATGGTTTCATTTATATAGAACACTCTGTAATTCAAGACCCAAATGAAAAGCAGCTTTGTTTTTGAAAGCAGTTAATTGCCTTCCAGATGACCATGTGGGACTTGGCCAGCGGAAAGCTCTTGAGATCAATAACAGATGCTCACCCCCCAGGAACAGCCATTCTGCACATTAAGGTAACGGGCCTGCGCTTGTCTTCTTCTTGTCATCATTCCTGCATCTTGCATTGATGTCTTAGGAGTAACTGCCCTCCCTCGATCTGGCTGCCCAGGAGTCCAGAGCATGGAGGGCAGCTCTCTGTTCCTGTCTCTCCTGTTGAGTTGGGCCCCTCACTGCTGGGCTTCATAGGGCAGCATCACCAGGCCTGAAATGGGCTTGGGAAACTTTAACAGAGACTAAAGAGCTCTACCCAGTGGGGCGGCCCCATGGCCCCCTCCCCAAAGGCCCCAGGGATTATGCCATGATTGGCCTTTACACCTGGTCTGTTGACCCCACAAAGGAGCTGCCCAATAGGTCAACTGGCCATAGCTATCCAAGGTTAGTCTTAACACTGGAAAACCAGAGAGCTTGGGGGAGATGAGAGGAGATAGGACAGGCAAGAGGAGCCCAGAGGAGGGAGGAGAGTCAGAGACTTGAAGTGGAATCTGGGCCAGTGAGTCCCAGCCACTGATGGGGCAGGAAGACAGGACCCTTTGTTCAGGGTGGGAGGCCTGACACCTGGCCTAGGGAAATGATCGGCCCTCTGCCCCCACCGCAGAGTCTTTGGAGGTGCAGGCAGGGGCTCTTTCATCTGTGTGTGTATGAAGCGGCCCCCTGCCCCTCAGCAGGCTTGAGAGGGACATGCTTCTTGGGGCACGATCTGTACATGGGGTAGTGGGTTGGATTAGATGGCCTTAAAGGTCGCTTCCAACTCTGGGGCCCTGGGGCTCTCTCAGACCCTCTGTGGGTGTTGAGGCCAAATGGGGGAATAAGGACATGAACTTTGGCAGCCCCAGCGACCCCGTTGGGCTGCACAGAAGGCCCCATGACCAGTTGTGCAGCAGTCTGGGGAGGTGGAGAGGCCCCCACTGGCCACGTCTTTACCAGTGGCACGGGACGGTCATCAGTATTCACTTTAGTGAATCCTGAGTTATCATAATGCATTAGAAAGCTGTGAAGTAAAGTGTGTGTTTTAGAAAGAATTCCATAAAAAACTCCCAAGCATTTATAAGAAAGGTACAGGTTAGACAAGGTGACCGTAGGGGTCCCCCCAACTCTGTTATTCTGGAAATTCTTTATGCAAATGGCCTGAGTCTGGGTAAAAGGACTTAGCATATCTGTAGCTATCCACACATACTTGACATCGTGAGATTTTGAGAATAACTTTTAGAAAAAAAGAAACTGGATACTTTTCAAAATGAAAATGAAGCCTGGTTGGTGCTTTGCTCCCTGCCTGAACCGGTCCTGCCAGACACTTTTTTGGAGGCTTCAGGGCTTATGGTTTTCTCCAGAATGAGATACTCCAGAGTCCTCAGGCCCTCCTCCCACACATGGTGGAGCTTTCAGAGTAAGAAGGACAGGCTGAGAGCCATGTGGAAGTCACCAACTGATAACGTGTTTTAGCAAGAGGTTTCTGGGGTTGTTATCACCATCGTGATACATGAATGATTCTATTGAGAAGCTGACAGAAAAATAACATTCCCCTCTCTGTTCAGTTTACAGATGACCCGACTCTCGCCGTCTGCAATGACAGCGGAGGTTCTGTGTTTGAGCTGACATTTAAGTAAGAGCGCGAGGCTGCGTGATGAGATGAAACGGGAAGATGAACCGGGGCTTAGCGCGGTAGAAAACCGAGATAAGACGCAGGCAGGCCTGGAAAGCTCACAGGGTGGAAGCAGGCCAGTGGATGAAATGCCTTCGCCAGCCCCATCATGGCCAGTGTAGATGTGCTTTCGCTGTCTCGGAAACATCCTGGCCCCTTGCAGCTCTCTGTGAAATGGGCAGAATGAAACCCAGACACGAGAAAGCATGAGGGAGTGATTCCCAGCCCGTCATTTCCCCTGGCTAGGGAGAGGGAAGGAAATGTTGGGTCCCATCCCTCCCCAGCTGTGTTCTGGAGGCACGCACGGCACAGCTTAGAACGGCTTTGCCAGAGTTCCGGATTAAAGGGGTTAGGGTCATCAGTCTAGAGCCAGCCCCTCATTCCGTAGGAGAGGAGGAGTGACTGTGCAGAGATACTCCATGCCTAAGGTGGGATTTGAACCCAGGACCCTGACTCCAAATCCAGCATCCGCACCCCCCGTCACTCTGTACATTATGGGCAGAGGAACTTTTAGTGACGGAAGCTAAAGTGGAAGCACCAGTGCTTCTGTGCTGATTATGATAGTTTTATCACTCTTACTATTCTTACGGCAGCAGCAGTATTTCTTGTCATTTTCTATTGATCAGTCTTTGAATTTCAAAGATTGACCTTTACTTGGAGAAGATCTTTTCTACTATTTTGCAAGCCTCCTTATAATGCCAAGAGCTGGTAAGGGAATCGTGGCCCTCCCCTGTTGAGCCGGGTATGAGGCGCATTGAAAACAGAGAAAGATGGGACTCCTGCCGCCTTGGAGAGCCGAGCTGGCTGCCTCCACTCTGACTTGGCCCACTGATTAGAGCTTGCATTTACGTGACGTGTCTCGAGGCTTTCAGACCTCTTTACCAGCCGTTTTCATTTAAGCCTCAAGTACTGCTCCTGTCACCATTTTGCAGATAAGGAAACTGAGCCTCAGAAAGGTCAGAGGAGGCAGGGTCTGGACCCAGGTGTCCAGTTCTGCCTGCCGTCCTTCTGGAGTCAAAGCAGCGCACGCTCGTGCACAAGCGCTCACCCAAGATTTTCTCCTTATTGGGAAGGCGACTGTGGTCAGGGTTAGCATGGGGAGGCCTCAGCCTGCAGGAGGGGCAGGGCCCGATTGCTCTGTTACAGAAGGTGTCAGAAGACTCCCCTGGCTTCCCTTCTCATTGTTCTTGCCCTTTGCTCACCAGGGCTAGGCTGGTAACAGGACAGTGGTGTCTGCTTCTGACCTTCTGAGCATTTCAGGGGCCATGAATTCCTGTAGAAACGGCTGTGGATTTGCAGAGCTAGCCCTGCGGCGACGGCGAGGCGGGAGCCCGATGAGGTGCCGCTCGGGCAGGAGCCGGCCCTCGGGCTGCCCCTTCTGTGGGCATGCTGAGCCCCCTCGCAGCTGGTGCCTCATCCTCCCTCCAAATAGGGTTGGGGACAGTTCATTTTTGTCTTTGCTGTGAACACAGTAGGCACTTAATAAAGGCTTCTCGGATGACTGATCGAGATCAGTGCCGCTGACTCCCTGCCTTTTGGTACTCTCTGCTTGTCCTTGGCCTAAGCCCTGTGTCTCCAATCAGACGCTAAGCTTCTTGAGGCCAAGAACTGTCTTTCTGTTTCTTGTATCTTTTATAGCAGCTGGCACAGTGCTAAGCATGTGATAGTTGATTTTGAAAACGAGAAATCAGAACACCTCAAACCACCTTTTGATGTATTCCGCCTGCATTCTTCCTTCATGCTTTTCAGGCGAGTGATGGGAGTGAGAACCTGTGAATCCCGGTGTCTGTTCAGTGGGTCCAAGGGCGAAGTTTGCTGTATCGAGCCTCTTCATTCCAAGGCCGAGCTCAAGGATCACCCCATCACCCAGTTTTCCTTACTGGCCATGGCATCCTTAACTAAAGTAGGTCTTAGGAACAGGAAGAGGATGTGCATTCAGAGTTACAGCATGATCTGAAGATAATTACAGAGTTTATCTTGAGAAAAATCATGTCTTTATTTCATTTCTTTTCTGCCAAAGATATTGGTCATTGGACTGAAACCGTCTCTGAAAGTGTGGATGACTTTTCCCTATGGACGGGTGAGTAAGGGACTCGTTTTCTTGTTGGCAGGAGGGGAAGGGAATGTGGAGAACGTTGGGAATGTGACTTGTCCTTTGAGTGTTGCTAAAAGCTCTGGAGCATGACAACAGGGGATTCAGGGAGCCCGGTTCTCTCCAAAGGCCGGAGCCCTGGCCTCTGAGCCCCAGTTCTGTCCTGTGGGATTCTCTGGGGCACGGCAGAGGCAAGCCTGTCCCGCACCCGCTTCTCGAGCTCTAACGTGGGGGGTGGGGGTGCTGCTCGCTTTTCCCGTGTTGATGGCAAAGGGTTTGTGCTTCTCTGTTCATAAACAACTGTTATTTTCGTTAGTGTAGATGCTCTCTCTGATTCCTTTTCACCTAAAATTCTGAAGGTACTCCACTCTCTTTGCTTCGGTGTTTGTACCCATAGAGCTCAGTGGCACACTTGGCCCAGTGTGAACAGTGAATTAGGGCCTTTTCATTCTGAGAACAGTGAAGGAAGGCGCATTCAGTCCTCAGTAGGGAGGGGACAAGGAGGCACGTATATCCTAAACTAATCTTTGAACATTAACGTTTCTGCCAAGATGTCGGCTGTATCTGAGCATCAACCTGGAGAAGCTGAGAGCAGCTCATAAGAGAGGTGACGTTGGGATGCCTTGGCATCGGAAACCTCCTCCCCTTCTGGAGGCTGAAGCCATTTCTGCAGCCATCAGAACATGGCGTCTATAGTGTGGCGAGGTGAAAGGTCAAGTCAGAGGGAAAAAAGGGAAGTGTTTCCTTCCCTCCTTACAAGGAAGCTTTGGCTTAGTGAAAAGAGCACTGGATTTCCAGGCAGAAGCCTTGAGTTCAAGGCCCAGCCCAGCTGCTCCCTGGTGGGGTCACAGTGGCCATGAGCTTGAGGCTCTTTGCTTATAAAATAAGGGTCATGCTAGTAGCTGTCCTGCCTTCCTCCCGGGGTTGTGTTAAAATAAAATGAGATTATACACACATGCATCTATGTGTACTCTACATGTATGTGAATATATGTGTTTAGGTATACACTTATATGTGTGTGCACACATGTAGGCTTTATGTGTGTCTGTGCATAGTATATATGTGTGTATGTATATGTAGCATGTACATACATATTATGTCCATCCATCCATCCATCCGTCTATTGGAAATTCCAAAGTATTTCCTAAATGGGATGGCAGCTCGTTGCCATGGAGACCGATGCAGCATCAGCGAGCCCTTCCCCTCCCTAGGTCTGTCATGTGAGAGGCTCGCGGGCTGGCCTCTTGATCGACGGACTTGGAGTCAACCCTCATGGTCATTTCCATCCTTCTAGTGGCGACCTCAGGCCTGCCTCCTGGGTTGTGCCATCCTGTGCTCTCTGTCTGTTCATAGGATTGATTTTTGTTTCCTTTTGGCTTAGATGGATCCCTCCAGCGTTCCGCTGCTGGCCTGGCATTTTGTGGCAGCCAATAATTATGTGAACCCCACGCTGGCCTTTTGCAGAGGAGACGTCGTTCACTTTCTGTTGGTAAGCCTCGATCAGGGAGTGGGTCTGCTATCCTGGAGAGATCAGTATCCTAACATCTGTTTCCTAACTCACCTATTTTTAAATAGCGTATCTACAAAACATGCACCATTGTGGTGGTGTCTGGTTTCTGTAACTTATTATTTAATTGTGCATGGTGTTGTTGTGTTTAACGGGGTGGCTCCGTCGTCCATAAGCCGTGCAGCGGCCCTGGCATTTGGGATGTGGGTTCAGGGCTTGGCTTTGTCACTCCCCCACTTTGGGCCTTCGTTTTTGTAAAATGAGGGGATTGGCCCAGATGGGCTCCAGAGTGATTTCCAGCTCTCACTCTGGACCTGTGTTCCTTGATGGTGAAACGTTGGTATAAACGTTTTTTTAGACCTTCCGCACCTTTCCTTTTCCTGTGTCCTCCTACTCTTTCATCCGTGGGTGGCTTGTCTCAGTTGGGTCTCTCTCCAGGCTTTCTTTCAATTTGTTCTTTCTCCTTCTGCCTCTTGTTACTTGATGGGCGGAGCTGCCTGCGGCCCCCTCCATCCTTCTCTGGAAGCTTTGACAAATGAGCTGGTGTTTTAAACCAGAATTGCCGTCGGCTGCCCAGAGCACTCTGCTTGGAAGGCCATCAAGTGTTGGCCAACCAGGCTGGTGTTTGGGCTCTTCTGCATTCTGGCACTCGATTTATGGCCATTAAACTCCGTGTGAAGCTGTTAGAGTTAATGTCCTTCACTCCCTCCAACCATCTCCCATCATCCCACATCAGTAACTTGTTTTAATGGGCCATGTGGCAATGGTTTTCATTGCCAGCCATGTCCTTTTCTCACTCTTGTTCTTCTAGCTTTGTATGAATTTGTTCTAATAAGTGAGAGGGGGAGAGTGTGGCTTAGTGGGTGGGAAGCCAGCCTTGAAGCCCACGTAATCTGGGTTCAGTCCTGCTCCAGACATGTGTGGGCTGTGTGAGTTTAGCCCCTCAGTGCCCCGGATGGAGCAGATGCCTGTCTGCATGGGCAGAGGAAGCTTCCTCACCTGAAGTCCCATACCAGTGAAATCACACGTCCTGTGCCTGGCCTTACCCTTTTCTCCGTCCAGTCAGTTGGTGATCCGAGTGTGCACAGAGGCGTCCAGAGTAATCCCCACGTCACTAGTGAGTCATTTCCTACCTGTCTTAAAAATAAAGTCAATTTCACCATGGTGTTAGTCAGCGTTTGCCGCGTCTAGCACTTTCGGACTATTTTCTGTCTTTTGCTTACTTGTGTCCCCTGTGCTTAGCGCAGTGCATAGCCTGGCACATGGGGGTGCTTGATAAATGTTGGTTGGCTGTTTTCTCCCAGGAAGCATTCATGATATTCAGGCGCGAGGCTCCCGGGAGGGCTGCGCCCGTCTTTGGCCTCTCCCTCCTCACTCCTGAGCCAGCCAGGTTTTTAACCATCGTGGCGTTTGCATTGAAGTCACCAGATGCCACCGTATACTTTGATTTAAGTAGGAAGATCTTACTTTGTTCTTCATAGAGCTCTCACTCCCTTTTCATCCTCTGCACCTGATGTTGGCACAGGAGCTACGGTAGTTTTCTTGGTGGTCTTTTGAACATACTCATCATGGGCACCACAAGATAAGATGACCAGAAGGCTCATACCATGATGTTTCTTGTTGCCCACGGGCACCCACAAAGGCCGTTCTGCCACCCCTTCCATTACCTCTCTGGGAGGGAGTCATCCTTCCACTCAGGTGCAGCTTCCTTCTCTCACCTTATCTTGTTTATGGCCACAGTGTATCTCCATTGGTCATTAGTCAAGGATCTCACCAACAGCTAAGTTCACATTTATAGAGGGTCTGAAAACCGTGATTCTGGGCACACTTTGCTCCCTTTTTCACCACCCTGACACTATTTCCACACAAGACTGAAGGCAATTTTGTAGTTTGCTTTGGGTCATGGGTGGTGCATACCAAAGAACTCATTGCCAAAGGGTGTGCCTTCTGGTGATAAGCCTGTCTGTACTTAGTGAGGCTGATCTTTGGAAAGCCAGCTCTCTCTTGGGACCTTTCTCAAAGCCTGTGCACATGGAGGCCTCTGTAGAGCTTGTGCGTCCCTGGCCAGTCCTCCGGGAGCCTACAGTGGTGCTTACGCTGGGAGGAAGCACTAGGCTGGGCTCTGTCGGGGCTGACATTTGGACTGTACCATTCCAGACCCAGATGCGGTGCTGAGGAAACCAAAAGTGGAAAAAAGTAGCAAGGGTTACATTGAATATATGGAGGAGAGGGCTGTGCTGGAGGGGCACCATTTGAAGGGCATTGAGGGATAAATCATCAAGGTATCTAAAGATGGGGACAATATCAAAGGCATGGTGTCATCACCAGAAAAAGATGACCCATCCTTAACTATAACCTATGAATCGACTTTTTCATCTCTTTAAAATTTTAATAAAAATGATCTTCACATTGATCTAGGGTTTCTTTGATGGGCTCTTCGAAGGGAACGGGCAGGCCTTCAATTCCTTAAAAGGCCATATCTGTACCATCACACACAATTGATGGAAGGATGTAGAGAACGGAAGACCCCACTACTGTTGACTTCAGAAAAGTATTTGATTTAGGAGAACAAAATGCTGTCTAAAGGCTGTCCCTGACACGGGTTCTCCCACCCATGTCAGAATTATACAGATTCCTCAAACAGTGTAACAGAGAAAACCTTTTTCAACCCTGGTCATTAATATCGAGAGGCTTAAAACAGGGACACATGTGCTTGCCAAAGGTAAGCCAGAGGTGTTCCTTCATCTGCTATGAAGGGGATCCCACTCAGAGTTTGGGTCACAGAGGGATTCCTCTAGAAGCTTCCATTTGTGGGTTGCATCAAACCCCATAACGTTGCCGAAGCTCCTGGGTGAGATTCATTGTCACTCTAAAGAGGATGACTGAACTGGCCGCCCAAGAAGAGCCAAGTGGATGAAGGATGCCTGTTGTGTAGACCATGTCGGATGAGCCACCAGTGGAGGTTAGCCATCCATAGCCACATCGTGGACAAGCACTAAAAATGATCAGTGAATTGGGCCTACGGTTGAATCCAAAGCGGGATTTGACTGGACTGCCTTAGAGAAATGCAGAATTCTTTTGGTGGCCCCCAGCTCCTCCCCAACGTGAAGGCTCGTCTCATTGCGTCTACTAGTTTTCCATATGCCTGTAAGACACCAAGTACTCAGCTGAGGCTGCCCCAGAGGGCAGTGGTGAGGTGCACGGTGGGCATTCGCAGGCTGCCACACGTCAAGGAGAGGAATTACATAGAAGCAGCCTGACATGAGGCAGAGATGTGTGAGTGGAAAAGAAGGAAGACAGGCCGGCCAAATGCAAGAATGAAGGATAACTGCGGCCCAGCTGCCACGCACAGTGGTGGCCATGGGGGAGGGCAAGGGCACGAGCCGCCAGGATGGGCAGGCATGGAGGGGACATGGCTGCGGTGCCGGAGCGAGCACACAGCCATCGCAACGGCTGAGTGTTGGCAGTTTCTAATGGTTGGGGAGGCAAGCTGACTCCTCTTTCATCTCCATGCCGGTGAGTGAGATGGCGTTTTTTTCAGCCTTCTGTCCCTTTGTCTACTGAAGAACAGATGTTGTTGTATCCATATGCATGTATAGGTGTTTATGTGAGCACAGTTATGTTTTGTGCATATGTGTGCACATGTGGCACACACATGTCCTTGCAGACAGATGAGTAAGCACCCTTAGTAATGTTAAGTGAGCAGCCAGCCCAGAGGGGAGATCGTTCCACCCTTTCTGCCCCCTCTCCCAGGGCTCAGACAGTAAGAACTTTCCCTTTTTGGCACAGGTAGGGCGACCTGTACTTTACCTGCCTATTCTGGTGGGGGATCCAATAGAGATTTGAGGCCTTAGGGGCTGTGGCCCAGGAGGATGAGGTTGCCTGAGTTGCTTGTGATGTGGAACACTGAGCAAAGCACCATGAGTCCTGAGGCTTATCTCAGGAAGGTGGGGCTTAATTAAAAGACACATCAGTTTGTGGTCGTAGATCCAGTACATAGGATCTGACCATCAGGATGAGGGAGAGAGGGCATAGAAGGATGCTAGAGCGTGGCTGGGGACCAGGAGGGCAGAACGAGTAGAGGTCACTGGGAGCAGGAGGGGTGAGAGATAAACGGGAGGGAGGATCGCAGCAAGGTGTGGAGGGCAGGAAAGACATGAGCCACCCACAAAATGTGCTGGGAGGGCTGTGCACTGGCAAAGAGCAGGCATCCTGAAGCCCAGGCGTATCGCACATGAGAAAACTGGTGTGAAACTGAGTTCATCTGGATTATGTGTGAGTGAGAATGGATCTAGCTGCAGCCCAGACCAGCCCCAACATCTGCTCGGCTGACCCATGTGCTGAGCCTTTCTGCAAAAACTTACATCCATTTCTTAACTTAAATCAGAGCAGCATTCCTGTTGGACTATGGAAAGGCCAATTTTGGCAAGCTTTCTAAGATACTTTCAATAGCAAAAAAGTGGGGCTTTTTTAAGTTAAATATTAATAAATTTTATGGCAGACACTTCCCAACACCTTTCTTCCCCCTATGAAGTATTTATCCCCTGAAAATAGGGAGTTTATCATTTGGTAACAGGAAGGAGGAATATTCTCTGTAACAACTTGGACAGCGTAGTAGAAATGTGACCTTGTATTTGGCCAGAATTTTTTTGTTTCTCTGTGCTTAATTTATTTACATTGTGGTGTTTGTTGTTTATGTTGTTCTTTTGACATTTTCTTCATGATGTATCACTTCATATAAATCCTTCCATGCTTGTTTTAATCCTTCATATTTATTTTTTCTTATGTCACAATAATATTCCATCATATTCATACAGCATAATTTATTCAGCCATTTTCCAGTCATCAGGCACATTCTTTCCTTTGCCCCAGTGTACTGGTAGAAATAATGCTGCGTTGAGCCTTTTTGTACACTTGAGTTTGTTTTTTTTCTTGCTGTCAATCCGTGGGGTATAGCCTCAGTACAGGAGAGTCTTTGGGTCAGAGAGTATAAACATCTCTTGTCTCTGTCTTTGCCCGGCCTGTCCTCCAGGCCTGGAATTCACTCACTCTTCATCTCCATCTTTTGAAAACCCTGGTTTCCTTTCAGACTGTTCCAGCAAGACCTTCTACGTGATGCCTTTCCTGATTCTCTCCTTTCCCCGCTGCCCCAAACTGCTAGTGACACACACATGCACATATATTCATATTGCCTCCCATTCAAATGTAAGCTTCTTGAGGGCAGGGACTATCTTAATTTTGTCTTTGTATCTGCAGCACGTAGCATACCTGTCGCATAATAAGTGCTGTTAAAAATTGCTTGTTAATCGATGAGTGCAAACAACTTAATAACTTTTCTTGCATGATTCCATATTGTTTTCCAGAGCCATTAGACCAATTCACAGTTCTCCCAGCAGTGAGTTAATCAATGTGCCATCTTTCCACAGCTCCATCTCTCTTTGGAGCTTTTCAAGCTCAAATGGGGATCATGGGCATCCTTGCTTTCCCCTAACATTACTGGGGAAGCTTCCTGTGTTTTTCTGTTATAAGTAGCATTGACTCTTGGGTTTAGGTAAATATTCTAATAATGCTAAGGAAAGGTCCTTTTATTTCCATGCTTTTAGGGGCATCTTAAGTGCTGTATTTTGTTTTAAAGGATTTTTCTCAATCTTCCTATATGAAGTATTTTATTACTTTGTTTTTAATATGATTAATCAGATTTATAGTTTTTCTAATGTCAAACCAGCCTTGCCTTCCCAGTACAAATTTAGCCTGCTGATGGTGAAAAGCATTCTTGGTTGTCAGGAGCCTGCTAATATTTTGAAGAAGGCTACCTGGTAGGTATGGTGGGAAGAAGACCAGCCTTAGAAGGAGATGACATGGGTTCAGATGCTCTCTCTGATGCTTATTTCCTGAATAAGCTTAGATAGAGGTGGCGTGACCCCTGCAGGCCTTCCTGGCTTCATCTCTAAGCCAGATGGCCTCGACAGGCCCTGCCAACTTGAAAACTCGGATTCTTCTTCTTCTTTTTTATCCAGCCAGCCTCCTTTTCTGTTCCTGCTATGGTGGACACGCCGTCTCTGGTCCCAGGACCTTTGCGGTCTATCTTGCAGGCCTGGAACGCATTTGCTCCTCGTCTTGGCCTCAGAAAGTCCTTCTCTTTATTTAAGACATAGCTCAAGGACCATCTTCAGGAAATGAGGCCCTTCCAGACACCCTCAACTACCTTCCCTCCCAAACTGCCTTTTAAAGCACTTCGTATACACTTGCATTTATTCCATTTATTTATTGCATTTATTTATATGTTTACATGCGTACTTGTTGTCTCCCTCATTAGACTGCGGTCTCCCTGCAAACAGGGCCTGTTTTGTTCTTTGTACTTCTGTCCCCAGGACCCAGTACTGTGCTTGACACACAGTAGGCGCTTAATATATACTTGTTAACTGACCGGGATAGCAGGGACCTGGGCTCAGGGAGACCCAAAAGAAGCTGAAAAGTGCTCACAAGCCCCCCTGTACTTGGACCTGGTTTGAGGGGCCCAAGGTTAAGCCTGTTCTGTTTTTCTGTTGTTAATGTGCTTAGTCTGAGCCTGTGGTTTGTTTGATTTGTCCTCAGGTTAAAAGAGATGAATCAGGTGCCATACATGTCACTAAACAAAAGCATCTGCACCTGTACTATGATCTCATCAACTTCACTGTAAGTACTCATGGGGAGAAGGGGGCAGGGGGCGGCAGTCATCAGGGCTTTAAACAGCTGCCTGGGGACGAGGTCACTGGACGGTAATGAAAGGGGCCTCGGGGCCCACTTCTCATAGAGGTGCCCCGCCCCCCCATAGCGACCTGCTCCTCGGGGTTCACAGTAACCAGAACCCTGTCCGTTACGTTTTGTGTCCTGCCGACAAGATGAAAGGCATATTGGAGGCAAGAAAAATTAAGTGGAATCTGCCCCTGGTCCTGGCTCTGTTCCCTGCCCAGGCCCCTTTTTTCTCCTGAACTTGACCTGAGAGCTGCTATTGCAGTGAGACCACCTTCATTCTGGTCGTGGAGCTGGGACAGCAGCCCCTGTCTGCTGAGTGAACCCATGCCTCGGTACTTCTGTGGCCTGGACTCAGGAATTCCAAGTGCAGCCCTGGGCACGTCAGTCAGCCAATCAATAAACATGTATTAAGTGCCAGCTGTGTGCCAGGCCCTGTGCCAGGGGCCTGGGCATACACAGAGGAAAAGATAAAGACGGTCCTTGCCCTCGGGCAGCTTACAGTCTAACGGGAAAGATAGAACACAAAAGGAAGCTAACCAAAAGGTGGGGTGGGGGGAGAAGGTACCCACGAAGGGGTGGCAAAGTCAGTCAAAGAAGTCCCCAGGTAGTGTAGCCACATGGAAAATAAGATGTCTGAGCCGAGCGCTCTCCTTAAGTGGAAGTTTGGAGCTCATCGCCCCACCGTGGTAGGTAAATGCAGTAAAGGTAAACTGAGGTACATACTCGTTGCAAAACCAGTTTTAACAGTGACACATATAACTGTTAACAAAGAGGGTCAGACAGGCCACCGCAGTGAGAAGGGGGTCCCTCTTTATTGACACTCAGGAAAGCAAGGGGGCACTGGGTAGTTTTGGAACCTTACAGTTGGCTATCCTGGCAAGAGTGGGTTGGCATTCAGGTGTGGCTAATCATGGCCCTCTCTGACAATCAAGGAGTGTTAATTGTTTTCTGGGGCTCATTCATCTGCCTCGTAATCTTGGCTGGAAGACCAGAACCCCCCAAGCTTGCTGTCTATCCCCGTGCGGGACTTTGGGCCTCCCCTAACTGTACAAGGACAGGCAGGAACAGACAGCATGTCTTTGGCGGGATGGCGCTGGGTAAGCTGGTTGGGGCTTACAGACAACAAGCCAATGGCCCCAGGGCTGATGTGAGCCACATTCCCTCCCGACCCGGAAGGAACACCACAGGCAGATCCTAACTCAGACAGTAGAAATCAGAGCTGGTGTTAGTTTTGATCTTCCCACAACCCTCCAGTCGGAGAGACACAGGTGGTGAGGAGGTAGGAGGCCAAGGCTGGTGGTCTACCTGGCATTGCAGGATCATGTTTTCTCAACATTGAGCTTCCTCAGGCATGGTGAGAAGTCAGTCAGGGAAGTCCCAGGGTGGTGCAGCCAGCTGAGAAATGAGGAGTCATTTAACCTTGATTTGCCTCAGTTTCCTCATCTATAAAATGGGGGTGATAATAGCACTTACCTCTCCAGGGTTGTTGTGAGGAGCAAATGAGACCTCTTGTAAAGCACAGTGCCCGTCTAGTTCTGGCACGTAGTAGACACTATATAAACGTTAGCTGTTATTGTTATCAGGGCAGCTGGGTGGTGCAGTGGATAGAACCTGGAGTCAGAAAGATCTGGGTTCAAATGAGACCGCAGACAGTTACCAGCTGGGTGACCCTGGGCAAGTCACATCACCCTGTCTGCCTCAGTTTCTTCATCTGTAAAATGAGCTGGAGAAGGAAATGGCAAACAGCTCCAGTATCTTTGCCAAGAAAACCCCAAATGGGGTCGTGGAGAGTTGGCCACCACTGAAATGACTGAACGACAAATTATAATCATCACCGTCATCATCATTATTCTCCTACCTGCCTGATGGTGTTTTCTTAACACAGTGTCTCAGACTTAAGTCCTGCCTGGCCCGCACTACTTGCCCGTTCTCCACAAACTCACAAAGGAAGAAGCTTTGCCTTGTGTTGTTTCCCTTTTCCCACAATGTGACCATTGCTGCGCTAAGCCTCAGCCTGGGGGCGGTCATCATGGCGGGGGAGCATCCCTGGCCCGTTCCCTTGTTGACCGTCTCTTTGGCCGTGTGCTTGGGTTGCAGTGGATCAATTCTCGGACAGTCGTGCTCCTGGACAGTGTGGAGAAGCTGCATGTGATTGATCGGCTGACGCAGGAGGAGCTTGAGACGGTGGAAATTTCCGAGGTGCAGCTGGTCTACAACAGCAGCCACTTCAAGTCCCTGGCCACAGGAGGCAACGTCAGCCAGGCCCTGGTACGGAGGTGGCGGGCAGGTACCGGGCAGGTGCCGGGGAGTGGCAGGCCCTCAGCCTCATCACGGCTGTGCTGCAGTCAACCCAGCTCACCAGAGACAGCTGAAAACTTGGCGCGGCCCCTCTGCCGGGTTGAGTGGTGGAAACCATTTCACGGGTCCCAAACCAGCATTTTTCATGCTGGGACCCTAGGGTTTCATGAGCTTCTACTAGCACCTGTGGGTGGTAGTGGTAGTCTCTCATAACATTTATCGAATTGATTTGGGAAGCTAATAATGACAGGCATATTTAATTGGTATCTGCTCCATGACCTTTAGGCCCTGCCCCAAAGTTTGGGATTCTAGCACATTAAAAAAAAATGTGGCCCTGTCCCATAGTCTCCAGAAAGATCATGTGAGGGGTGCTGGGCCTGCAGGGAGAATCCAGCTCGGTCGCAATGCCTGGTCTTCCCGCGCTTGGGCAGTCCCTTGGAAGCCACTCAGGTCATTGTCTCCTCTGTCCCCCTTTGTTTCTGTGTGGCAGCCTGGGGCAGGGGGGTTCATCCATGAATTTTGTGAGCAGCAGATTGGTTTTTTGTTTTTGGTTTGTTTTTTTTTTAATTGGCTAAAAGAGAAAAGCTCCCAGTTCAATGACAGAATGCTGCCAGGATTTCTCCTTGAGTTATGATGCTAGGGTACTCTCTGGGAGATTAGCCAGCCCCCTGCCCAACTAAAAATCTGTACATGCATGGATCTGGGGGTGCACAGAGAGGAGCACTTGTAACAAGCGTGTTGGTTTTCTAGCAGATTTATTTAATGTGATATCTGTATACCTAGCGTTCTTTCACACTAAATAGGACTCCTGTGTGTCTGTCCTAATGCATGTGGTTGTTATTTTTCCTAGGCTCTTGTTGGAGAAAAAGCCTGTTATCAGTCCATCAGTAGTTATGGCGGTCAAATCTTTTATTTAGGGACAAAAGTAAGTCCCGTCACTGTGTGTGTGTGTGTGTGTGTGTGTGTGTGTGTGTGTGTGTGTGTGT